ATGATGACGATGATGATGATGATGATGATGATGATGACGCTGATGCTGATGCTGATTATGATGATGATGCTTCTGCTAACGATGATGATGATAATGATGATACTGATGATGATTATGATGCTGCTGCTGATGATGATGACGCTGATGCTGATGCTGATTATGATGATGATGATGCTGCTGCTGACGATGATGATGATGCTGATGATGATTATGATGCTGCTGCTGACGATGATGATGGTGATGATGCTGATGATGGTGATGTTGATGATGATGATGGTGATGCTGCTGCTGATTATGATGATGACGCTGATGATGATGGTGATGATGATGATGATGATGATGATGATGATGATGATGATGGTGATGATGATGATGATGATGATGATGATGATGATGATGGTGCTGCTGCTGCTGTTGATGATGATGATGCTGATGATGATGATGATGATGATGATGATGATGATGATGATGATGATGATGATGATGATGAGGATGCTGATGATGATGCTGCTGTTGCTGATGTTGATGCTGATGCTGATGCTGATGCTGCTGCTGAGGAGGAGGAGGAGGAGGAGGAGGAGGTGGACGAGGAGGAGGAGGAGGAGGAGGAGGAGGAGGAGGAGGAGGAGTCGGAGGAGGAGGACAACAACCGCCGAGAGCCCGACAAAATCGGGGAGCTTCCCGTCAGGCCACGCCAGCTTCCGCGCCGATGCGCCGGGCGCTGAGCCTGCTGGCGACGCTGCTGCCGCTGCCGGGCCTGCCCGCGGTGCCCGTCGCCGCGTCCTCGGCGCCCGCGCCTCGCGCGCTGGCGGCGGCGGGCGAGGAACGGGCCCTCCTCAGGGGCAAGGTCGGGGTTGGATACCTCGCTTCCTCCGCCGCCTCCGCCTCTGCGCCGATCGGAGAAATCTGCGCGGACCTCCGAGTTGTCATGCTTCTGCCATTATATGTTCCCCTAAGCTAGCCACCAGGGGGAGCAGTGCAGGTACCAAGGGGCGCTGGTGGCCCGAGTCTTCGGCGCTGGGAGCAGTGCAGGTACCAAGGCGTGTGCTGCCCGCCCCTAGCCTGCTCGCCCCGCCGTCGCCTTCGAATGTTGGGTGCATGCGGGCACGTCCCTCCGCAGGAGGAATGTTCAAAGATAGTTACGAAACGTAGTAGTACGGGCACGATCGGCTACTTCTATTGTTTTTTGGGGGGCACTTTGGGTTATTTTTTTGTTTTTGTTTTCGGCCGACATCCGCCTGCAGGAGGCCCGCCCCCCCCGATCGGGCCGGACGAAAGGGGGGGTTTGGGAAAGGGGGGGTTACGAAATTTGCTGCATGCAGCTGGGTTCGGCCTCACCGAGGGGCCCATTCCTCGATACATAGCCGCCTCCGGCGCCGGGAGGCGCGGGGAAAATCAGCTACGTGAGCTGATTCTCACCCCCCCCTTTGCTATCCCCCTCTTTCGCCCGACCCGACCCGAGGCCCGCGGAGCGGCGCGGTGATCCCACGCGACGGCACCCGCCCGCGCGCGCTCGGCCTATAGGGGCCCCCGCGGCTGGGTGCCGTGGCTCTCGCCGGGGCCCGCGGCCCTCGCCCGGCACCCTCCCCGAGGACTCTTTGCGCCTCGGGCGCGCGCGCAGACCTTCGCGCCTGGGCTATTTTTTGAGTACAGTCGGGGCGCTGAAGAAGGAGCCCTTTTCGTTGGGGAGGGGCTCGGTGTTCCTTAGTTGTTTTGCAGTTCGCCTTTGGTTTTGCTTAGGGTTTCGAGGGGAGATCGAAGTTTAACTTATGGGAAAAAGGGGCCTCGTTCCTTATTTAGGGTTCCTTAGGTCAACGCCTCGACTGCATTTCTTATTTTCCGTCGAAAACCTCCCTGTAGGGGGACACGCCCGACTTCCCGAGGATCTGCACGAACGAGATGGGCACGGAAAGAACGGGTACGGTGCCCAACAGCAGTACTTGTTCGTTTTGGACAGGACTCGCTGTCCGCGCCGCCGCGGCCTGTGTCCACTTGAGACACGAGGCCGCCAGCCCAGCAGCGGCCGCTGTTGGCTTTGGACAACATGCACTGTGTCCATTTGTTCCGCACCCGAAGAGGACTTTTGCGCCTCGGGCGCGCGCGCGCAGACCTCCGTGGCCGGGGCGTGGCTCCCTCGCCTTCCCGGCCCCTCTGGCCGCCCCCTCGCCTCGGCGCGCTCTCCTGCCGCGTGCCGCGCGCGGCCTCTCGCCGAGCGCGCTCTGCCGCCACCTGCAGAGCGCCCGCTCCGCGGGCGCCTGGGAAACACGCGCGCGCGCGCCTCCTCCGGGTGCCGCGTGCCGTGGCTCTCCCCCGCGGCGGCTCCGGAGGCCACCTGCGAGCAGCCCCTCTGCGAGCAGGTGGAGCGCGCTCGTCCAGCTCGGTCTCCCTCGCCCTCCCGGCCCCTCCGGCCGCCCCCTCGCCTCGGCGCCGCTCGCGCCTTCTTTCGTGCCTCGCGCGGCTTCGGCGCGCCTCGCCGCTGCTCGAAGCCGCCGTCTCTGGCCGCCCTCTCCGTGCGGCCGCCGGCAAAAAGAAGGGCGGGCTTTGGTGGGAGCTCTCCAGCTGCCGCGTGGCTCTCAGGGCTGGGCCCAAACGGTGTCTTTTTTTGCGATCTCGCGGGCCGTTTTTGTTTCGACTTCGTCTTGCGGTAAAGGCGGATGGAAGACAAAACGAGGGACAACGAACACACAACGACAAAGAACAGCACCGTTTAGGTTCAGCCCTGGTTGATCTGTTTGTCCCGGGAGCGGGGAGCGCTTTCTGGGATCACGAGAGGCCGAGCCCTTGGGTCGGATACAGTGGAGGCCCGTGCCAAGAGAAAGCACCCTACTTGCCTCCAGGGTGCCCCGGGTTTCTTGGGTTTCGATGGTTTTGCGGTGGAAGGCGCGACGTTCCCACGCCAGAAATCACTGGACGTCGAGGGGTCTCAGGGTTGGGTTTCTCGTGGAGGGTTTCTTGTGGACTGGCCTCCACTGTATCTTTCTGAGGGCCTACTCTTTCTTTTTCTCCTCCTTCGTCATTCTCAGGCTGCCGGAATGGGGCTGGGGCAGACGGGGTCGGAGGATCACGCCGCATCGTCGATGCGCTGGCAATGCGGCGCGAGCGATCTAGAGCCAGATTTTCTTCATCCCGACGTCGCCGGCGCATCGCCGTTACATCGGCTATGCGGTGCGATGCTCCGGGTGAGGCTGTTTTGTTGGCAGTTTTACGCTGTGGGGGTGAGCATTTGCTGCTGGCAGTTTTATCAACCGTTCTGATCGATCCCCCGCGAAGATGAGGATAGTCGCTGGCAGTCTTGCGCATGGGGCAACGGGTTTCGGATGTGTTGTTGGCAGTTTTTGACCAGGGGGTGAGGATATTCACCGAACGCGTTTTACCACGCGCAGAGTGCCTACCAGCAAACGTCCGACAAACATACATGTTTGCGTCCATGTAGTGGATCGCAGTTCCTCGCGGCGGATCCAGGCCATCATTTGCGAGCAGTTGCCCTGCGAGTGGTGGACCGCGCCTGTCTATGCTGGCAGTTTCTGGGCGGCGTGAGGATGTTTACTGGCGGAGGTCTCGTCCCTGGGCCACTGTGGGTTGCTCTGGGATCTGGAACGAAATGATGGGCGACAGCCCACGCCCGCGTGCGCTCGAGTCCAGTGATGTGTGTGCGCGCGCATGCAGGCGGGCGCTGCTTCGACAGGGGGGCTGGGCGTGATGAAGCAATTACACCGAGACCAGACATTACACATGAGTTTTGCTGCAATTCGCCTCCATAGGATTGTGTGTTGTGCTGGTCGCTTCATTTTCCTGGAGAATCGTACGCAAGACTTAATGCAGTCTTGCTTGCCCACGCGACGTCTCTAGGCGCATAGCTTACTGGCTGACTGTTTCCTCGGGAGCCTTGCGACGGGAGCCAATGCAAACGGAGTCTGGCTTGGGTCTGCGTCGACCCGGGTCAGTGCGCCTCCGAATTCCGTGCCAGGGAGCCACGGGGACGGATTTTGTTTTTCTGTTGATCTTCCTTCCAGTGTCACGTCTCCTGATGAACGGGCAACACACATACCCAAGAGGGTTGCCGGAGGGAGAAGGACTGGTAATGTGTATGGGTGCGGGCTGTCGAACCCCAAGGGAGGCTCCCGCTCGAGTGGTGTTCCCCATCCGCCAACACGCGCCCACAGCCCTCCCCGTCCCCCCTACGAGTATGTGTGTGTGTGTTGTTCGGTTGCCATTTCTGGGCTCTGCCATCCCAGATCTCCAACATGACGCGTGTGCATCTAGCGGCCTTCGGCCCATCCCGCCACCGTGTTCGCTCTTGGGGGCCTCTTTGTGACCTCTCGGCGGCCTCTTGGGGGCCTCTTGGGGGCCTCTTGGGGGCCTCTTGGGGGCCTCTGGGGGGCGTCTTGGGGCTTTTGGGGCCTGCTAGTGGTCTCGGGGGACCTGCATGGAAATGCCGGGAGCGTCAGTTCGGGATCCCACACTTGGGCCCTTCCTGGGGGCTTCTGGGACCCCCTCTTAGGTCGTCTTGGGGGCCTGCTGGGTGCCTCTTGGATTGTTTCGGGCGTTCAGAAGCTCGGAAAGGCGAGAACGCTAACATCATTAACCACCTAAGGAGAATCAGTGATTTGTTCCTCTTGCGGTTCCCTTGGGGGTCCTTTTGTGGCTTCTTGGGGGCGGTGTCATTTCGGCCGTCTTGGGGGTCTGATGAGGTCCCAGGGCGTCTTGGGGGCCTCTTGTGCCGTCTTCAGTTCATCTTTGGCGTCTTGGATCGCTCTTGGCCCTCTTGGACCGTCTTGGAAACCTCTTGGGACCCTATTGGCCCCTCTTGGCGCTCTCTGGCCGATGGGAAAGTCATGCGACCCATCCCAAAAGTCACGCGGAACACGAGAGTCAGGCGGGGATCCCAAGATAATCCGATAAGGATTTGAGGACACTCCACTTCGTGCCACGAGGCACGATTGCGGAACTACAATATGTGTATTGAATGGTGTGCAAACGCTTCCATGTTACCCGTCTCTCGCACCCTTTTCTGCGGCCATCTCGAGGAGCGGTCATCTACATGGCTCTGGGCTCCGGTCGAGGTACCGCCTCTTTTTGAACATTTCGGCAATTTTGATTGCACCAGACTCGCCCGTCGTACTCTTTACCCTTGACGTAGCACATCTATCATTGTCGCCAACACTGAGTGTAATGCTCTTGGGTTGCTGCCTAAATAGTGGTTGCTGCAATGTTTGGTGGCCTTGAGCGTCGATCGAGCTGGGAGACTACGGAGGAGTGATTGTCGAGTGACGGATCGTGGGTCCTTCTGTTGCTCTTCTTCGGGTAGTAATTCGCATCGGAGATTGCGTCCGTGGTCGCGGTGGGCATGAGGCAGGAGCCATGGTGGTATTAGCAGCAGCTGTGGTGGTACACGGCAGTTTCGAGGAAACCAGATGAGCAGTGGTTGAGACATGACAACATGAGCGACGTAAGTCAACGGGGCCGTCTTTACTCGGCGGTGGACAAACCTCCCTTTAGCAAACCTCCCCTCAGTGCAAAGCGCCTGGGACCGAAACCGACGCACCTGGACCCGCAAAAACGACGGCCGCGACGCCCCCGCGCGAACCGAAAACGGCCAATTCCTCAATCGACGTGTCAGGGGCAGGAGGTCTGTCCACCCCCGATGTACCGACATCTGCGCGTAAGCTGCCCGCGCAAGGTCGCCCGCAAACGCGCCCTCGTCTCCGCGCGGCGCGCCGCGCGGCGGGCGGCCCGCGCAGGCACCCACGCAGTAAGCTGGCCGCGATGCTTCGGCGACTACCAAAGGCTTTGGCTGCGCCGAGGTGGGGTTTGCGGTCGACACCGTCGGGGACTACAGTGCCGTTTTTAATACATGCTCCGCGTGCGGATCATGTATTAAACATGCAGGATTGAGTACTAAAAACAACGATGAGTTCATGCATGCATTTATTCATACAGTAATACTGTATCAAAAATCCTCTATATGTATGTATGTATGTATGTATGTATGTATGTATGTATGTATGTATGTATGTATGTATGTATGTATGTATGTATGTATGTATGTATGTATGTATGTATGTATGTATGTATGTATGTATGTATGTATATATATGTCCCATGTATTGAAAACTGCCCTGTAAGGAGCACGACGCTGTCCTCGTCGGGCCTCCTCGGGGCGCGGCGGGCAGCTCAGTCGAGGTCCCCTCGCCCGCCCCCTTCAGGGTGCCCCCCCCCCCCCCCCCCCCCAGGGTGCCGACTGCACACCGCGCCCGTTGCAAGCCACGCCGCCCGGAGTCGCTGGATGCCATCGCCCCTGGGACCCCTGTCTTCTCGTCGCTCACACGAGAGAGGGGGCGGTGCCTGCAGCAGCGGGGCCCTCCGCGGCGCCAGTGAAAGACCTCGAGGCGGGCGGCCAGCGCCCAGCACGGCGTCAGGGGCACACCGCGGTGGACGTCGGCCACCAGGTGTACATCTTCGGTGGGTGCGACCAGGAGCCGACGGGGGCGCCACGCCGTCGAGACGCGGAGATGTGGTGAGGGCTTGGGACACGGAGCCCTTCGATGAGGAACCCGGGGTCTGGGAGCAGGTGGAAACACGCCAGTGGAGGCCTGGCCATGGATATCACCGCCACCCTCATCCGAGAAGGAACCCTCCAGGGTCTGGCGCCTCCTGGGCGCATTCCTTGACGACCGCCCCCACGGCAAGGGCCACTTGGGGATCGGGCGGGGTTCGGGTTTTCGGGCCGTTCCTCGCTCGGGGCTGCTGCTGGTGGCACGATGGCTGTAGGCAGCATGCGCTTTGTCGTATGAGCGCCTGCCTTTGCCATCGGCACAACGGTAACAACGATCATGACAATCGTTATCGTTGCCGTTTATCGTTATCGTTCATCGTTGTCGTTGTTAAATCGTTGTCGTCGTCGTAGTTATCGTTTTTAAATAGTTGTTATCGTTGTTCTCGTTGCGATCCTTGCCATCGTACCATCGTTCTTACCATCCGAAGCAGCAGCAGCAGGCGCCTGGCCTCTGGTGGTCATCGGCGCCAGCAGCAGCGTGGGGTCGGCAGCAGCCATGGCGGCCTGCAGCTGCGGGGAGGCGGCCGTTCGCACCTGGCCGTGGAGGCGCCTCGCGCCAGTGCTCTCTCGCTGCCCTTCGGGGGAGGTGCCAGGCCGGGGGTGGCCGCCTCCGGGGCCTCCCTGCGGCCCGGTGAGGCGCAGGCCCACTCCCCTGGGTGCAGTGGCACCTTCTAGGCCTCCCAGATGTCAAGCAGCGGCGAAGCGCCCTGGCTCGCCTAATTATAGCCCCACCGAACGATGTTCTAAGAACCTCTTGTGGCTTCCAGGAAATGTTCTTAGAGCATTTCTGGCGGAGCCTGTCTTGTTTTATCACATCTGGCTTGTGTTCTAAGAACAGTGTTTTTGTTCTTAGAACATTTTTGGGTTCTAAGAACATTTTGTGGTACGACTATAGGAATACCAGGACGGTCGGTCCCTGCTCAAAGATGGGGTCGGAGTGCATG